TGTAATCCTAGCTACTCAGGAGGCTGAGATCTGAGGATCATGGTTCAAAGCCAGTCCAGGCAGGAAAGTCTGTGAGACTCTTATCTCCAATAAACCATTAGAAAACCAGAAGTAGCGCTGTGGCTCAAGCCTTGAGCTGAAGAGTGTAGGGACAGCGTCCAAGCCCAGAGTTCAAGTCCCACAACCAACCAAAACAAAACAAAACAAAACTGGAAGTGAGCAGGGTGCCTGTGGCTTGCACCTGTAATCCTAGCTACTGAGGCTGAGATCTGAGGATCTCGGTTCAAAGCCAGCCCAGGCAGGAAAGTCCATGAGATGCTTAACTCCAGTTAACCACCAGAAAAGTGGAAGTGGGAAGTGGCGCTATAGCTCAAGTGGTAGAGTGCTCGCCTGAGCTGAAGAGCTGAGGGACAGCGCCCAGGCCCAGAGTTCAAGCCCCACGACCAACCAAAAAAAAAGAATTCAGGGCTGGGAAGGTGGCTCAGTGGTAGAGCGCTTGCCTTGCATGCATGAGGCTCTGGGTTCGATTCCTCAGCACCACATAAGCAGGAAAAAAACCGGAAGTGGCGCTGTGGCTCAAGTGGTAGAGTGCTAGCCTTGAGCTAAAGAGCTGTGGGACAGCGCCCAGGCCCAGAGTTCAGGCCCATGACCGGACTCCCCCCCCCAAAAAAAAAAACAAATAAAATATGGAACACTTACTCCCAGCTACTTAGGAGATGGAGACTTTGGGGATTACAGTTTGAGGCAGCCTGGACAAAAAGTGAGGACCCCCCCATCTCAATAGAACAATGTGGACATAGTGGTGCATGCTTGTTACCCTAGCCACTTCGAAGGCAGAAGTAGGATGATCACAGTCCAATGCTAGAGAGCAAAAACCCTTGCTGGGAATGTGGCTTAGTGGTAGAGTGCTTGCCTAGCATGCATGAAGCCCTAGGTTAAATTCCTCAAAACCACATAAACTGAAAAAGCCAGAAGTGGCACTATGGCTCAAGTGGTAGAATGTGAGCCTTGAGAAAAAGAAGCTCAAGGATAGTTCCCAGGCCCTGAGTTCAAGTCCCAGGACTGGCAAAAAAAAATCCAAAAAAACAAAAAAAAAAACCTTGAAACCCTATCTGAAAAATAATTAAAAAAGGTAGGAGGCATGTTTATTGCAGCACTGTTCGCAATAGCTAGGATATGGAAACAACCTAGATGCCGCGCTTGGAAGAAGCGGCGCGCCAGGCCCGGGCCCTGGGAGCCGCCGTGGAGACCGTGCTGGCCGCGCTGGGCGCTTCGGCCCATGGTTCCCAGGGTTCCCCGACCGAGGCGGCCACCGCAGCCGCCCCCGCCCCCGCCCCCGGGGGGTTCTCAGCCAAAGTGCTGGGGCTCCACGTGTGTGGCCTGTACGGCGAGTGGGTGAGCCGCACCGAGGGTGACCTGGGCCAGCTGGTGTCCGGGGCTCCTGCCTGATGGCAGACACCAGAGCAGTTGGCTTTGTGCCTTCCTCATCTCTAGATTCTTGCCTTCTCGGAGAACGCGCCTGTCCTATCTTTTTCAGCTTTCTCTCCTTTTTTTTGTTTTTTTGTTTTTGTTGGGTCCTTTATTACCGGGTCTCTTGGGGGGGAATCTCCCAGTCTGTCCTTTTCCTCATCTAACATGTGGATAAGGTATCCATCTCAATCTCCTCTCCTGGAGGTGGTTGATGTTGATGCTTGGTCTCTGTCTCTGATCATCTTTGTGCTTCTCTGGATGAGAAAGTGTCTGCTAGTCCTGTAGTGAGACAGCATCTCCATCCCAAACTTCAGCCCACCTTCCTCAGGGTCATCCTCCTGCTGTGCTGATCCACCCCCCCCCACCATATACACACACCCCTTAAGGCACCGTCCTCCTCCCTGGGTGTCCTGCTTTCTGTCCCCCGTGCCCAGCCCCTACACTCCTATCCAGGTCTGTGTAAGAAAAGGTGACACCTTGAACAAGTTTTATTTGAGAATAAATATTTTCTTTGTAAATAAAACATTTAAAAATAAACTGAAAATTAGCTGTTGCTAAACATGAAGATACAACTTTTTTGGGGAGGGGGAAGGGGGGTGGTATCAGTCATAGGACTTGATTGGAGGCCTGAGTACTGTTCCTGAGCTTTTTTGCTCAAAGCTAGTACTCTTTATCACTTTAAGCCAGTTCCACATCTGGTTTTCAGGTGGTTAATTGGAACTAATCTCCTGTTGGAACTGGCTTCAAACTGTGATCCTCAGATCTGTCTCCTGTGTGGGTAGGTTTACAGACAAAAGCCACCAGTGCCTGGCTAGATACAATTTTGAGGAGAATAGGATCTTTGGGATACAGGCAAGTCCTCCACACACATCCAAAAGGCCCAATATAAATAGATGTACTGACAGCTGTTGGAGGTTCATGCCTATAAGTCTACCTACCCAAGATGAGATCTGAGTTTCACTACTGGAAGCCAGCCCAGGCAGGTAAATCTGCAGCCACAGGTAAAAAAGCCAAGTGAAAATGTGAGGCCCTAAATTCAAGCCACAGTAAGACCCCCACACCCACACCCCCAAAAAAAGATACGGCCAGGAACTGGTGATTTAGACCTGTAATCTTAGCTACTCAGGTGACTGATATTTGAGGCTCCCTGTTCAAAGGACAGACAAATTTGAGAAACTCATCTCCAGTTAAACAAAAAAAATGAAGTGGAGGTGTGGTTCAGGTGATAGTGTCAGCCTCCAGCAAAAAAGTTAGAGTGTGAGGCTCTGAGTTCAAGTCCCTGTACTAGTACAAAAAATGAGATTCATGAAAGATCTAGGCCAGAGGAACCATCTGTTTGCCCAGAACAAGAAGGAGATGTGTCTTGAGAAGGAAATAGCTGGGGGCCAGTGGTTCAAGCCTGTAATCCTAGCTACTCAGGAGGCTGAGAATCTGAGGATCGCCGTTCAAAGCCAGCTCAAGCGGGAAAGTCTGTGAGACTCTTAGCTCCAATAAAACACTCAAAAAACTGGAAGTGGTGCTGTGGTTCCTGTGGTAAAGCACTAGTCTTGAGCTGAAGAGCCGAGGGACAGTGCCCAGGCCCAGAGATCAAGCCCCATGACTGACAAAAATTAAATTTATAAAAGAAGGAAACAGATGCAGACGAGTCCCAGTGGCTGCAGCTGAGAATTAGGCTTCCACTGATCAAGAAATGAAGCTCCTCCAGACAGAAAAAGGGAGAGCAGACACAGAACAGAGGTAGACTATGGAAGGAACTGAACTCCAGCAAGAAGCAGGGAGGTCTATCTGCTCAGAAAGACAGTATCTTCACATAGGAATTGAGGTAGATAAGAAGTCAATCCCTGGAGTTCCCCCAAATTACAGGAAAGGGAAGGTCTCGGAGAGCCCAAGACCAGGGGGCTGCTCCTAAACAGAAAGTAGGAAAACAGATAACCACTGAATGGATAACCCACAAAAGGGGTAAGTAGGGCCGGTCTAAATCTGGAAGGGAGGACCTGAGCAGGAAGGGCCAAGCAATAAGGAATATTGAATGAGCTTCCAGGAAATATTCCCAAAGACAAGGCACACAGCCCTGTTTATAAATAAGATGCAGCTCCGTCCCCTCCGCCCACCCCCCTACTTTTTGTCCCAGAAGCAAGGCAGATAAGTCCATTGTGAAAGAAGTGTTGTAGCTTTCCACAGCAACTCCTAACCCTTTATGCTGGGTATTTGGCTTTGAGCAGAGCCAAGTCTCTCACAGCTCTGTCTGTCCAGTGGCCATATTCCCGAGTCACTACATAGCCTCGACATTTCCTCTCAAACGCAGAGGCCCCAAAGGGAACAACCCCCAGAGTGTCTTCTTCAGGGGGGACAGGCAGTCCCAGGGCAGCCATGATGGCAGCCATATTACCCAACAGGCCTTGAGCCCTGAGTCTTGCAGCTCCAAGCTGGGCCAACAGGATAGGGCTGCCAGGATTCAGGTCATTCTGGTCATCTCCCACAAGCTGGAGGTGCTGAGTCAAGGCCAGGAAGGCTCCCTGGGCTCGGTTCAGGCGCTCCCCATCCTCCAGAGCATGCCAAGTCTTGAAGGAGACTGCAGCAGGTGGTAGGCTGCTCAGCTGGAGCTCAGGGGCCGAGAAACCAGGGTCACTGAAGGGGCTTCCCTGGTACTGCAGCTAGGTGAAGGACAGAGACAGAAGTCAGGGGTGCTGGGGCTCTGAGATCGACATTTCAGAGGAGGAGTCCCCATTCAGCACCCTTCAGGAGTTGGGGTGTCCTAACCCAGAGAAAGGGCCCTGTTGGGATATAGTTTATATCAACTGTACAACATGGAATCACAAAATTTCCTAACTCATACATGGTAGTATCATTATAAAGCTGATAGGTAATCATGTTTTTGACCCACAACAAGAGTGTGAAAATCCCCTGCTCATTAATTAATGAGTAAACATATACATATATATATATAAATAAAATAAAATATAAAAATAAAATCACAGGGTTCATATATATATATATATATATATATATGAACCCTGTGATTTTATATATGAACCCTGTGATTTTATATATATATATATATATATATATATATATATATATATATATATATATGAACCCTGTGATTTTATATATGAACCCTGTGATTTTATATATATATATATATATATATATATATGAACCCTGTGATTTTATTTTTATATTTTCAACTCAAGTATATTATTAACAGATTGATCTTTTATTTTCTTTCTTTTTTTTTTTCCAGTTGTGGGGCTTGAACTCTGGGCCTGGGTGCTGTCCCTCAGCTCTTCAGCTCAAGGCTAGCACTCTATCACTTGAGCCACAGTGCTACTTCCAGTTTTCTAGTGATTGGTGATAAGAATCTCACAGACTTTCCTGCCCGGGCTGGCTTTGAACCATGATCCTCTGATCTCAGCCTCCTGAGTAGCTAGGATTACAGGTGTGAGCCACCAGCGCCCAGCTAGATTGATCTTTTTGATTTCTAGTATTCTTTTGTTTGTATTGCTAATTTTATTCATGAACAAATAATTGTTAATGATTTAAATTTAGTCAAGAACCTTCTTTTTTCTTTTCTTTTTTTTTTTTTTTCAGTACTGGGGTTTGGAGTTTCCCACTTATTTATTTTTTTTGGTCAGTCCTGAGGCCTGAACTATGGGCCTGGGTGCTGTTCCTCAGCTCTTCAGCTCAAGGCAAGTGCTCTGACACTTGAGCCACAGTGCCACTTGGGGCTTTTTCTGCTTACGTGGTGCTGAGGAATCAAATCCAGGGCCTCTTGTATACAAGGCAAGTACTCTACCACTGAGCCACCTTCCCAGCCTCATTAAGAGCCTTCTCTAACAAATTTTTTCCTCCAGAAAAGAAGACTCACTCTTAAATATATACTAATAGATCTCATAATTGGTAGATCAGTTAGTCCCATATCTTGTTTGCTTGTTTTTAATATTACTGTTTTAGCTGGGTGCTGGTGGCTCACACCTATAATCCTAGCTATTCAGGAGTTTGAGACCTGAAGATCAAGATTTAAAGCCAGCCTGGGGGAATGGGAAGGTAGCTCAGCAGTAGAATGCTTGCCTCCCATGCATGAGGCCCTAGGTTGGATTCCTCAGCACCACATAAACAGAAAGGGAGAGAAGTGGCACTGTAGCTTAAGTGATAGAGCACTAGCCTTGAGCTGAAGAGCCCAGGGACAGTGCCCAGGCCTAGAGTTCAAGCCCTGTGACTGACAAAAAAAAAAAAAAGCCAGCCTGGGCAGGAAATCCATGAGACTCTTACCTCTAACAAACCACCAGAAAACCAGAAGTAGAGCTGTGGTTCAATGTGATAGAGCACTAGTCTTTAGCAAAAGAAGGGACAATGCCCAGGCCCTGAGCTCAAGCCCTATAACCCTATAACCACCACCACCAACAACAAAATTTAAAATGACAGGAGTCTTACAGTAAACTGAGACTCAAGATGTCCAAGATTATTCGGAGAACAGAGGTAGACATAGGACTAGAATCAGATTGTATAACTACTTGTTAGCCTAGAGAATAGAAAAGGAAAAAGTTGTGAACTTTAGGGTCCCAGGGCCAAGCAAATGTGTAATTTGCAAGAGATGCAGGGTTAAGGTAGAAGATAGAGTTGTAGCCAGTAGTATTCCAGTGTTTGTTTCAGACATTCATATTTAAAATGGAAATAAGCATCACACAAACCAGATTCAGCCCAAAGACAAGGACTGCCAGCTTCACTCCTGTACAGTGGGGTGGGGTGGGGGTGACAACCAGAAGCTGTGGTCCGGAGTTTCACAGACTTAGTGTGAGAAGCTGGCATTATCAACTTTGTTCCCTCAGACAAACTGAGTTTGTGTCCTCATCTGTAATTCTGATTCTAATTCCACTTCTCAGAACTTTTAAGAGTGCTAGGGGGCAAAGAAGGTGGCTCAGTAGTAGACTGCTTGCCTTGCATGCATGAAGCCCTGGGTTCCATTCCTCAGCACCACAAACACAGAAAAAGCCAGAAGTGGTGCTGTGGCTCAAGTGGTAGAGTGCTAGCCTTGAGCAAAAAAGCTCATGGACAGTGCCCAGGCCTCGAGTTCAAGCCCCAGGACTGGCCAAAAAAAAAAAATCTTTAAGCCCATAAGAATAGAGTGCCCACTATGACTTATGGCTTATATGGGCACATGACATGAAATGGCTGTGGAAGTCACTATGACTATGTCAAAGCCCTTCTCTAGAATTAACAGATCAGCAAAGATATAATCACCATCCCATTTTACATATGTGGAAGCTGGGACCGTGGGAGAAGGGATGACTTGTCCAAGATCACCCAGCCAACAATAACATCTGAGTTAGTGTGTCTCTAGTTTATAGTGCCTCAGTTCCCATGGGACTACAAGAATCTCTTGGCTTGCTCTACTTCCCCTTCCCAGGGTCCTCCTCCCCTGGTCTCTGTTTCTACTCAGTGTCACTCACATAGGTCTGAAGCAGTGTTGATGTGTTCTTCTGCATGTAGAGGGCCAGGCTATAGGCTTGACTGATGGGCTCCGCTGGGGAGATGGGGGCTGCTGGATTGAGTGGTGGCAACAGCAGGCCCAGGAAACAGATGGGGGCTGGCAGAAGAAATCAGAGATCAGTACCCTGTTCCTTCCTCTAACAACACCTTCAATAGGTACAGCCTACCTGGTCTCACAGATCATGCCTATAATCCTGGCTACTGAGGAAGCAGAAGCAGGAGGATCTTGGGTTCAAGTTCAGTCTGGGCTATATAGCAAAATTCTATCTCAAAGACAAAACACAAACAAAAAGACTAGGGGTATAGCACAAATGGTAAAATATTTGAGCATGACAAGGCCCAATCAAGGTACAATCACTTGGTAAATAATTTCCAATTGAGAACTCCTTTTGACCTTCCCTTGAACTCCAGACTCTTGACAGTTTCACTCAGGTATTAGTAAGCATCTTAAATTCAAAATACCTAATATTCTACTCCTGAATTTCCCCTCCTCCAGAATTCTTGTAGTTGCTTATTCGCTTTTTCTTTCTTCTTTCCTTTCTTCCTTCCTTTCTTTCTTTCTTTCTTTCTTTCTTTCTTTCTTTCTTTCTTTCTTTCTTTCTTTCTTTCTTTCTTTCTCTCTTTCTTTCTTTCTTTCTCTCTTTTTTCCTTCCTTCCCTCTCTCCTCTCTCTCTCTCTCTCTCTTTCTTTCTTCCTTCCTTTTTTTTTGTCAGTCATGGAGCTTGAACTCAGGGCCTGGGCACTGTCCATGAGCTTCTTTTACTCAAAGCTAGCACTCTACCACTTGAGCCACAGTGCCACTTCTGGCTTTTTCTGTTTATGTGGTACTGAGGACTTGAACCCAGGGCTTCATGCATGCTAGGCAAGCAACTATACCACTGAGCCACCTTCCCAGCCCTCTATTTTCTTTTTTTTAAATATGGAAGGGCTGGGAAGGTGGCTCAGTGGTAGAGTGCTTGCCTTGCATGCATGAGGCCCTGGGTTCGATTCCTCAGCACCACAAAAGCAGGAAAAAAACCGGAAGTGGCGCTGTGGCTCAAGTGGTAGAGTGCTAGCCTTGAGCTAAAGAGCTGTGGGACAGCGCCCAGGCCCAGAGTTCAGGCCCATGACTG